GGTATGGGTTACCTCTGAGTTTGAATTTTGGATAAATGCTCGAAATTGGAAAATTTTTATTCTTCGATATTAAAGATTATAACGTATGGGTTACGTCAAATCTGGATACCCAGCTCAATAATGCGCAAATTGCTTTGGGGACGGGAAATGAAGATTGTAAAGACACCTACTATCAAGAAACATTGAAAGAATAAAATAGGACAAACCTGTAAACTATCATGCTTTTACCCAATGGGAAAAAGATAGAGATAAGCCCAGTATAGGTCCACCAATTTGAGGAAAGATAAGTTGGTTTAGATGAGTTTTATGGATAGCTGATGACTTTTGAAACTGGATTTTGGAAGGTTAGATTCACCCGTTAAGAGACAAGTCGGCCAACGAAGGAGGAAAAAATGGATACATTGTATTGTTACAGGTCCTAGGCTACATTTCAGATGAAGGTTCCTGGTGTAGTGTCCTAGTTCACGTTCTCATTACAATGTTCCATTAAAAGAAGATAAAATAGAAGGATATTTACACATTAACGAGCCGTATAATGAATATTACGTGCAGTATTTAATAATACAGTAAAATCCGAAAAGAAGGACATTTATTTGAAAAAGAATATTTATTTGGAAAAGAACATTTATTTGAAAAGAAGGACATTTATTTGAAAAGAACGACATTTTGTGTATCATAGATTAATTTATATAATATAGAATATATAGTAAGAAGGATTTATGTGGACAATAAGAAAGATTGAATATTCGCAAACTTTAAAAGTTATGAAAATTTTGGAGTTTGTGATATGTGAAATTATGGATCTTGGTGACAAAAAAGATGTGACAAAAAGAGGTGATAAGTGAAACTATGAATCACGGTGACGAAAAGATGTGACATGTGAAATTATGGAAATCGGTGATAAAAGATAAATTTTATGGCGTAGTAAAAACCTCTGCAGTCTGAGGAGATTGTGGACTTAGAGAAATTTTTGAAATTTTGAGGCGCAGTAAAAAAATTAATAGTAAAATATGACGTAGTAAATATATAGAACCGAAAGATGGAATCTAAAGATTGAAAGAAGTAATCTATTTAAAGACGAAAGAATGTTTAGAAGATTAAAAATAGAAGTGATAAGAGTAAAATATATATATATATAGAGAGAGAAGTCCGATTGAGATTCTGGATGGATATTCATAACAATTTAACTAAAGCGTATAATGGAATGGTACCATCAATGGGAAAGCGAATATAGAACACATAAAGAGGAACACGAATTAGGAACTGAAGAATTGGACGAATGTTTAAATTGTGAATTATGTTATCCAATAGTAGATGAACCAATAGTATTCAAGAAATTTTGGGATGCATTATTTAAATTTGAAGATGCAATAATAATATATAATGATGTAACAATTAAGGGAGTATTAGATTTATTAAGTATGAATAATTCAGAAAGAGAAGATACAATACATAAAGGGAAATGTAGTGACATAATGGATAGAATAACGGAATCAATAAGATATAGAATACAACCGAAAATGAAAGAAAAGGGATTACGAACAATTATATTAGTGATTGTAAGAGATTGTATTGAAAGAAATCTGGAGAATGAAGTATTTGATAGATTAATTGGGAATCCCGAATTAATAGAACACAAATATATTTTGGAGGATTGGGATGTCGAAAGAAGATTTGAGAAATTTTGGCAATGGTATAGAGTCGCATTAGGAGAAGTTAGAGCTGTAAAAGCAGAAGTAGGAGCAATAGAGAAGTTCAAAGAATTACTATATGAAGAAGAAAAGATAGCGGAAAGTGAAGAAGAAGTGAAGGAATTAAGGAGAAGAATAATATACGAAAATGTAAGAATAGATAATGTTCAAGAACATCATAAGAATATGATACAAAAGATAATAAGGATATTTATAGATACTAGGGGTTTTACAAAAGAACCAGAAGATTCGGAAAGTGAAGATAGTCCAGCAAGTTACGAATTGGAAAATAGTTCTGAGGAAGAATTAGAGATAATAATAGGAGATAAATCATGGAAATTTAGTGAATTAAAAAGAAGGACAAGCTCGATAGACGAAGATCAATTGAGATACATTTGGAAGATAGGAATAAAGTTGATGATAGAAATGGATATATTGGTAACGAAAATATTTATAGATAAAGTTCAAGAGGTAGAGGAAATGGATGAAAGGGAAAAAGAATTGAGGATAAAAGAATGGTTAGAAAAAGAAACAATAATATGTGAAAGATGCGGCAGTAGAAGGTTCGAAATGGACGAAGTGGATAGTGAATGCGGGGAATGTATTAAAGAAATGCTGAAAAATGAACAAGATGAGTTAGCAGAATTAAAAGATGATTTAGAAAAGTTGGGATATGAAATAGATGTGTCGGAAATTCAAAGAATGAAGAGTTTTGGGGTAAATAATCGGATAATAATAACTAAAGAATTTGTG